TTTTATTAAAATCAATCCTTTTAAATTATAAGTAATATTACATTTATATAAGCAATTTTTAACAATTATAGATATATTTATTTAATTATTAAGAATACTTTATAAATTTTAAAAATTAAAACTTTACTTTATTCAATTTAATCTGACTAAAAAAGTTATTCATTATATACTTATTTTAATATAATAAATTAATAAAGCAATAAGAAACTTTTTTTTTGCTATTTTAAATATAAAAAAATATTATTTTATTTTTATTTATTTATAGTATTTTGTATTTGAATATAATATGAAATCCTGAAATTCAAAATTCTAATAAGTCAAAATCCTAAAATTTAAAATTCTGAAATTTAAAATTTTAACAAATTTAAAATCCTAATAGATATAAATTCCAAAAAAAATTAGACTGCTACCTTTTTATGTATAGCTTGAAGTTCTGTGTTCACCATATTTATTATATTTATCATATCCATTATATCTATTATATCCATTATTTAAATCATCTAACATCTTTTTCAAAATTACTATCATGATTACAGTAGCTATGTGACCAGTCATTTGAGTTATTTGAGGTCATTTGGCTTACTAGCCAATACTGATATATATAGAATGCTATTTAAAATTCTAAAACTCAAAAATTCTAAAATTAAATTCTAACAAGTTTAAAATTCTAATAGATACAAAATTCTGATAGGTCAAATCTTATTAAATAACTTTCAGATAACATTAAAGTTTAATGCTATTATGTACATTACTTTAGTGTTGTTTTGTTCTGTCACAATAATAATAGCCTCTATTATGTTTACAGAACTTCAAGCTATATATATATAGAAGTAAAATGCTAATTTGGAATAGGTAACTTCTAAAGAGAATGTAAATGACCTAGTCATTTAAAAATTACATCATAATTGTGGCCAGAACTATTCATACAATTTTATTATTTTATGGATAAAATTTTCACATGATATTATAAGTTCATAATTCTGGCCAACATCATTAACTTGGCTTAAATTATAAAGCATTAATTTTAAATAACTCAAATGACAAATGATCCAAATGACTAGGTCATTCAAAGGTTATTCAGAGGTCATCTCAAAATGGGCAAATGATCTAGTCATTTGCCATTACTGAATTATATATATATATATATTTGTATTTATAACCTAAAGTTAATAAGATTTTCTTTATAAATAAATACTTTTTATTTTCATATTAAAAGTAGTTATGATGATTATATAAATACTTGCAATTTATTATTAAAAGAAAAATAAAATTTTAAATTTATTTTAATAAAAATTCAATATAAAAGGTTTAATTTAAATAATAAAAAATTATTATATTTAACCAAATTTTCAATTAAAAAACAATTTATAAGTTTAAGTTTAATTAGAAATAGATAAAAAAAAAAATTAGATTATTTTATAAAATAAATGTAATATGTAAGTGATAAACTAGTATTAAAATTTTATAAATAATCATATTATATTAAAATTTGTAGTTTATAAATGCAAATATTTTAGTAAACAAATTAATTAAATTAATTATTTGAAGAATATGAAAGTAATTATATAAAAAAAAGTTTTTATTGCCTTTTTTTTATCATATTTTAAAAAGAAATCTTACATTTTATAATACTGTATATTAAATAAAGTTATCAGTTTATATGTTTTTATAATTACAATACAAAAATGGCCAGGAATAACTTTTAGATGGTATAATAAACCAATAATATTGAACAAACAAATATAACAAATATAGTTCTTGTATTAAAAGGAATCGTTATCACAAAAAAAAAAAAAAAAAAAAAAAAAAAAAAA